AACAATAAAAGCAACCCTGCAACAACAACAAAAACTACAAATAAAAAACCAGGCTGGGTGCAGTGGCTTGCGCCTGTAATCCCAGCCCTTGGGGAGGCCAAGGTGGGCGGTTCACCTGAGAACAGGAGTGAAGAGACTAGCCTGGCCTACATAATGAAAACCCTTGTCTACTAAAAATACAAAAATTTTGTGTTTTGTATGTGTGCGAGGCACGATGGCGCATGCCTGTATTCCCAGCTACTCTGGTGGCTAAGACAGGAGAATCTCTTGAACCTGGGAGGTGGAGGTTGCAGTGAACCAAGGTTGTGCCACGGCACTCCAGCCTGGGTGACAGAGCAAGACTCTGTCTCAAAGACTAACAAAAAACAAAACAGCTACAACAACAAACCCAAAACAGTATTCACAACTGTTCACATAGCATTTATATTGTAGTAGGTATTATATGTAATCAAGAGATGATTTAAAGTATATGGGAGAATGTGCATGGGTTATATGCAAATACTTTGCCATTTTACATAAGTGACTCGAACATCCACAGCTTTTGATATCCATGAGGGTTCAGAAACCAATCCCCCCTAACAGATACTGATGTTGAACTCTATATTTGACCTACAGTTTTTAAGAAGTTTTTTTTTAATAGTTGATTACTACAAAACTTAATGTTGCCATCTACCTAGTAATCGTTTATGGGGATATTTGCTGTGGTTAGGCATAAAATGTTTGGTTTCTTGATATGAAGTTGGAAATTAGGAAGAAAAGACACAGGGTGAGAGATAAGATGGATACATTTTTATGTCTTGAATTTAGTTTACAGATTTTTCCCTTTTTTCCTCTCAGTAATTTCCCTACACATTATTTTCCGCTTTACATTGTGTTCCTGAAAAATAACCAAAGTTTGTGGTAGTATTGTGTCACGTCTTGCTATCTTGTTGCATTCTATTTTGATTTCAGAGGGGAAAATGGCTCTACATTTCAAATTTGTATGTAGGTTTGTCGAGGGGAGGGTGGTCAGGAGAATGTAGCTGCATTGCTTTTATAGAAAATATGTCTTGACTAGCACTCTGAATCATTAACTGTAGACAGCCAGTGTTCCATTGTATTCCTCACAGATTTAGAGAGGTTATGCCTAGCAATTATGAGATGTCCAAATATATGCAAGTATAATGCGATGTAGGAGTATTCTGCTTTATCTCTCTTGAATTGATTTGCTTCTTCCTGAGCTCCAGAAATAATATATATATTTTTTATTTTTCTCAGAGAATTTTAAGCCTAGTAGAGTGTACACATTTAAGCTTCCTAGATTCTATAGAAAAGGAGCTTTAAGATAAGGGCATTTACTTCCTTATGGTTTTTTTCAGAGATTGCATACTCAAGAAGAGGAGGAACATAAAACGTGCAATATCTTCTAAGATTCTGCATGCATTAGGTCTCCATGTGAAAACATAAGGACCTCAACTTTATATGATTATTATATGGCAACTAAGTCTGTGCCCAGCTCTTCCCTTAGTCTATGCTGTACTCTCCCAACTCTCTGATGCTCTTTCACATCATTGAGTATCTTAGCTGGGTGGCCTTGGGAGCACATTGAGTTAAATATCACATGAGGAACTAGTTTGTTGCCTGTTTATATATCAGGCATTTGAAGAAGGTTGAATGCAGTATAACATGAGAACAAATAGTACCCCATTAATGTTTAAACTCTACATGAGAAAATCACACACCATTTTATGATCTCAAGGCACATCAATTTAGCAACTCAGTGACAGAAGAACAATTTTAGGAAAGCCAAATATAGCCGTCAGCTCAAGGGAGAACTAGAAATTTTGGAAATAGATAACCCCTCTCAAGTGTTCTGTCTTGTACATGTGCCACCATTATGGAGCACCTTGTCTCCAAGCCCTTCATCATGTCTCCACCTTACTAAAGAACACAGAAGCCTGGGAAGAGTTTTATTTCTTTGGTTTGGAGGTTAAAAAAAAAATAGACATGTATTCTTTCACAGGGTAAGAATGGAGGCTGGTCAGTTCAATTCCATGGTCTCTCGAGCAGTTCAACAGTGTCCTCAAGGACCTAAGCTCTTTCCATATTCTGTCTGCCATCCTCACGGTGCTGGTTTTTTCTTGAGGGCTGTTGCCGTTCCAGACTTGGACAGGGTTTTACAAAGCCATTCTTTGGGTCCCCTCACATGCTTTCCTTCACCCAGACAGCTGCAGGGTGCGGAGCTAAATCTGGGAGAGTAGCATGGGAAAAATATAAGCAAAACTGTTTTGATAGGGTTTTAATACTACGTCTTGGGTGTTTGGTATAAATTAAATGACTGCATTTTTGATTATGTAAATTTAAAATCCCATATATGCTAAGTGGTATAAAATGTAAAGATTCAGGGTATGATTTACTTGATTTTCTATTAAAAAATGTGAATACTTGACAGTGTTGTAATTTTTGCCTTTTTTATATGTGTACTTTTGTGTGTATACTTGAAAATCTCTTCTAAATCAACTCCTGTCCATCTTATTTAGTTCTTTGATTCTGACGGCGTATTTTCCCATACGTGTTACCTTAGGACATTGTAGATGCACAGTGGTACTGTTGAATGATGGACTGTGATGTTCAGTGTAGACCTTTCAGTTGTACAGAATCTTTCTCCTCTCCTCTTTAGGTGGAAACCATATTTCTTGTGAACATAGTAAAGTTGAATGTATGCTGTAACTTGTGTTCCCCTTGGCCAAAACGGATCAAACACGGGGAGAGGGTACAGTGGGGCAGGGTAGAGGTGGTAAGTTCCTCAGAACGATAGCCTTGAGATCATGGGACTCAGTTCCTCTCCTGACCTGCAGTCTCTCCCTCCAGTGTCACTTCTCAGCATTAAAACATTGGAAGAAAGTAAAAATCATACACAAGTGAAATCAATGCCTTGGTTATACTAAAACTACTTCCCTGCTCCTTATGGTGTGACATTTTATCAGAACGCTCTTCGATAAGGTTAGCACTTGCAGAAACAGATAGTTGGCTGGCAGGTTATGTAGCAAAGGTCACTTCATTCTCTACAGCTTTGGATTAGTCAAACAAAACCAAAGCGTTTTGGACCCAAGTCTGGTTACCATGTATATGTAAGTCATTTTCTTTTTTTATTAATAGTTCTAGCCAGTTTTTACAAACCCCAGTGAAAGCTGGCAAAATCTCTCTAACCCTCTCAGCCATAGAAAAACCGAGCTCCTCCACAAGCTGTGTCCGTGGTTTTAGCTGAATTGAATTCTAAGCAGTTTGAAGACATTTTTCTAGCTAAAGGCATTGTCCTATCCCTGGTTTATACAGTACCCTCAACTCCTGGCCAACTTGTCACTGTGAACTATTTATTCTTGAACTTATTTCTCCAACTGCCTCTTAGTCTTCCCATTCTGGGCATCTACAATTACGGTATATTTTATTTACAGTCTAGTTTTCTTCTCATTAGCCATTGGTCCCTGACTTTCTCATTCCAAATATATTTATTTCTATCATCTGTTTTGAAGCATAAATAATGACATTTTGTGTACTATTAAATGGTTAATAACATAAATATATTTTGCTGTATATTGAAGAGGGGGTCTATTTATGGCATATAAATATCTAACATTAATTTATTAAGTGGTTTACAAAGATTTGGGCTTCATTTTGTCATTTTCTTTTTTTCCCAGAAGGTTAGTTTCAGCAACCCTACTAGGGTATGTGATTTGGATGTTAAGCTCACTTGAGCCAGGAAAAATAGGAAGATGCTTACATAAAATTGGCTCTTTCAAAGATGCTTTTCAATTTTAAAGGGAAATTGAAAAAATCAGACTATAATGAATTTATAATTGTATTTAATCATTTCTCTGTACTTTTGAGTTATTGAAATCGTCCTTTAATAATGCATCAGTTTCCTTGGTGAAAATTAATGGTATTTTTTTTAACCTAGTCTTGTAATTTGGTAAGGGTAGAAAGTGTTAGAAGCCAAATTTGTAATGTTATCTAGAAGATGACAACACTAAGACAGTGGGTAAACAAATACGGTGTCACTTTATTTCACACTCCTCAAATTACCTTTGACGAGCTTAAGAGGTTGTTTCATTTATAAATAGAAAAAATGTATTCACAGTACTTTGGCATACTATAAAAGTCTAATTATTTAAAATGTCATCTATTCAGATAGCTTTAGTAGGAAAATGGAAATAATTGTTTTCAAGATATGATAAGGTAGACCTAACTATAGAGGACAGTGGAAAAGAGTAGCAGTGGGTATTGACTGCTTTTTAGAGAAAGAAAAATTCCATGCCATTGCTAAATGTTAACAATTGCAAAAGGAAAATTCCCACTTGTGAAGAACATTTTTTCAGTTTGCTTCATTGCCAGGTGTTTGACATTGTGTGTTGTCTTAGATGAATAAGGCTTAGGGCAGCCTTTAGGAACGATTCACTCCAAGGACCTCTGCTTCCTGCTGTGAAAGCTTCTATTTTCATAGCATGCCAGTATCAGTGGGAATGTTCCCGTGGTCACTGTGCTACTTCTAGCAAAGACCAGAGTTTTCCCTCTGAAACTGGGACAGCTGTAGAGGAGAATACCTGTCTGCTAACAAAATTAATTTCAGAACATTGTCAGTGAAAGAAGTGCATGTTGTCTACAGTTTATGAGATTGAACTGTGTCACTTATTAACAAAAATAAGCCTTGCTTTCTTGTGGTCCCTTTTAACACCATTGCATTCTACAAATATGATTTACAATCATTCTAAAGTTTAAAAAATCCAAATAATGGGATAGTTGCTTTGAGACCATCTGTATTTTCCCCTTTCCCTTTTTCTCTGTCCTTGACCCAGCAGCAGGAAGCCATTGTTTGAGGTGTTCATCTGGAACAACTTTTCCACACTTGTTTTCATGTTCTGTTAGATTACAGGGCAGCAGGCCTACCTTTGAAGCTCCTTTCTCTTTTGTTTCTTTGCCGTGCACTCCAGTAATTAACTTTGTCCTTCTTTTATTTGTTCCAGTCAATCGCAGGCCACTCTGCTGAGCATCTTCTCCCAGGAGTACCAGGTTAGAAGTTTTCTCCTTTGTGAGGGTTGACAGGTGCCTAATTGAATGATGAATGTCCCTTTATTTCTTTGTAATTGAACTGCCAGCTCTCTGATTGGGTTGGAGGATGTTCTCCTTTCCACATCAAGCACCGCCTGTGTCTCGGTGGAGGCCTGCCAAGCCTACCCATCCATCTGTCTAATAACATCTAGCCTTTGCTTATTTGGTGGACCTGTAATAAATTATGCTAAACCATTATTATTCTGACAATAATAATTTCCCTGTGTTGCGTGGTTCCATGTGCTAAATGTTTGCTGACTTGCACTGTCAGTGCCGCTTTCCATTGCTGACAGAGATGATGATAAATGACCATTGCTGGAGTGGCAGAAGGCAAGAGAGGCAGAAAATGGAGTCATTTATCATGAGATGACAGGTGTCAGTCAAGTGGCAAGTCTCTATGGAATTACTTTTTGTAGTTTTCAAATAAGTTGTTTTTAAGCAATGTTCTTCCTGGTTAAAAATGGCAATTGGATTGTAAAACCACAGTGCAGAGGACTTAGATGGAATTGAATCGAGGGAAAATTAATACAAAGGTTGAAAGAGGGAACAAGTTTTTCTTTGCCCTCTGCAGCCCTAAGCAAACTTATTTACATTCAATTACTATGACCCTGTTGGCTTTTACATATATACTGTACCTTGTGGTACAGTCTGAAGACATCCAGCCAAGCAATAGAGATTAAAATGCATAGGTTCATAGACGAGAAGAAAAAGAAGTCCTGCCATTACCAAAATCCCCAAACTATTATTCATTGTTCCCTATGTGCTAGTCATTGGGATCAAGAAATATGTCATTCTTGTTTTGAACCTCATCTATGATATAACAAGGATTTTTTTTTTTTTTTTTAGAAACACATTAAAAGAACGCATGCCAAACATCATACTTCAGAAGCAATTGAAAGTTATTACCAGAGGTATGACCTTCCTGCCCCACTAGAGGGTATCATAGTACCTATTAATTGTAATAATAACTGTGAATAAGTTAGGTTATTAATTTTCTATATCATATCTCAAGACATTCTGTTTTAAGTCTTTTATTCAAAAGTTTTCGTATGTTTTTGAATGAATTTTCAAATGCTTTGTTTCGTAGATCTGAAGAATATGGTAAGGCTGTCTTGACTGTGTGTGTGTGTGTGTGTGTGTGTGTGTGTGTGTGCGCGCGCACACACACACACATACTGTTTGAGATGTAGTTAAATATTATGAAATCTCAGTTGGCTACTTGAAACATTATATAAGTGCATATTTTGTCTACATGCATATGCTCATATATACATATATCTACATGTATTTGAAAGTTCTCAAACCAATTTTCATTAGATTAGCAAGTTGAAAAAATAAGATTGAATTTGGATGCCATTGTATTTTGGCATCATAGATATTAAGATAACCATTTTAGAAAGGAAAAAGGACATATCAAGTAAAGGCACATGGAGATATAGTGTGTAACTGTCACATTTTAAAGGGGATTTTATATTTTTAAAAGTCAATCTTGGGTATTAAATCAACAGCATAGTATCGAGGAGATATTTTAATTTCAGCCTAATTTATTATAAATAGTTTTCAACTTCTTGTTCTGAAATAAACAGAATCTTTAAAAAGACTCTGATTTTTTTAATTCTAAAATTTATATTGTCATTGTAGTATGACTGAATAATTTATAACAGTAAATGGTAATGGTTTGCATTAGAAATTGTTGGTTGGTTTCTTAAATATTTCAAGGGCACATTGGAAATGAAAGCTGTTTGAAATCTGCTCTTAAATTATTATACTTAAGATTGACAGAGGAACCTTTCTGTGGAGAGAGTGACACTACTGATTTTAGATGAATGATTTTTACGTGTAAAAATTTTATGAATGGAATAAATGTGTGGATAAAATATTGGTGTCATATTTTGGTGAAGTCATTTTATTTGGAATCAAGAAAGGGATATTGAACAGAAACATCACAGAAATTAGATTTTTTTTAAAAAAATTACTCACTCTTGCCAGCCGGGCGCAGTGGCTCACGCCTGTAATCCCAGCACTTTGGGAGGCCGAGGTGGGTGGATCACGAGGTCAAGAGATCGAGACCATCCTGGTCAACACGGTGAAACCCCGTCTCTACTAAAAATACAAAAAATCAGCTGGGCATGGTGGCACGTGCCTGTAATCCCAGCTACTCAGGAGGCTGAGGCAGGAGAATTGCCTGAACCCAGGAGGCGGAGGTTGCGGTGAGCCGAGATCGCGCCATTGCACTCCAGCCTGGGTAACAAGAGCGAAACTCCATCTCAAAAAAAAAAAAAAAAATATTACTCACTCTTCCATATGTAGTAAAAGATACACTTTGTTTGGAGTAGTAATACCTATTAAAGATACATGCACTCATTACATACACATAGACACAGACACACACACACTTTTGTGTCTAGGAGAGATCCTCTCTAAACAAAACCTTGTGAAGTTTAATGATTTATTCGAAAGTCATAACCTTGTTGGTGAAATTGACATTCAAATTAAAATCATAACCTAAATTATACATATGAAATTAAGAATGGCCCATGAAGTGCTATGAAGCCTGCAACTGTGTTGGTATCCAGACTCTTCAAAGAAGCACTGAAGGGTTATTTACATGCCAAAAAATACATTCTTCTTTGTAAACATTATAGTCCTAGGCTGTCATATAAAAGTATGATTTTATATCCAGATTTTAAAGACTTGTAGCGTGTACAAAGAAAATAAAGCATTTTAAAGGAAAGTGTGCTCTTTTCCTAGAAAATTGGAGATCCACTAACAGGTCATGGGGCTGTCCTCTGATACTCATTTGCCTCATTGTAAGAAGGTTGTTTTAATTACTAATAGATGATGTCTAGGATCACTAGGTGCTGCTATTTAAAGTCTAAGTTTCATTAAAAGGTGTATGTAATAATTGAAGCATGAACATACTTTTGTTGGATTATCTGGATATTATAGGTCAGAAATAAATATCTTTCTTTTTTTTTTTTGAGACAGTGTCTCTCTCTGTCCCCTAGTCTGAGGTGCAGTGGCATGATCATAACTCACTGCAGCCTCAAACTCCTGGCCTCAGACAATCCTACTGCCTCAGTCTCCTGAGTAGCTGGGACTATAGGTGCACACCACTGTGGCCAGCTAATTTTAAAAAAAAAAATTTTTTATAGAGGCAGGGTCTTGCTACCTTGCCCAAGCTAGTCTTAAACTTCTGACCTCAAGTGATCTCCCACCTCGGCCTCCCAAAGTGCTAGGATTACAGGCCTGAGCCACCATGCCTGGCCCAGACATAAATACCTTTAAGGATACCCAATGATGAATAGCTGAGTGGATAATAGTGAGAATACATAAATACATTTCTTTAAATTTATTTAAATGTGACAGTCTCAATTATTTCAAAGAGTTACAGCATTTGAAACAAAAACATGAAGTTAGACTGTAATGGAGAGTCGCAGAAGAAAGCAGTCTGAGCACTTTCTGACTTTACCAACCTGCTCCCTGACTTTGTGCCCTGCATTTTGTGCTTGGGGACAGGCCATGTTGTTACCTTTCAGATGAATTGACCTCAGTAGCCTTTTGTTTGAAATGTGCAGGTCAAATGTTCCTGTCTGTGCTAAGGTAAATTGGCCTTAAAAGGTTTTTGTTTGTTTTCCAGCAGATTAGAATAAAGCCAAATTGTGTTTGTTATATCAAAACATATTTAAGCATTTTGAAAATGTTAATGGCAATTTTATTTGATTTTTTTCTTTTATAAAGTAATACTCAGCTATTGTGAAAAGCAAGCACATTTGTAATGATATTAAAAAGGAATGAATGATTGCCCATAATTGTGCCACTCAGAGATACCTAATGGCGTTTTTCATTTTAGTCTTTTGTCAGCCCATTTTTATACTGATGTGGTCATCTTATATAAGCAATTGTGAATCTAGAGTTTTATGCTTGGAAAAATGTATATGATATATTATTTTTTAAAAGGCTTTTTGTAAACATTTTTTGATTGCCTTATTTCATCATACGAAAGAATCATAATTTACTGAATTAATCCCTTTGTTGTACATATGTTTCCAATGTTCTATTATTGTAAATAATACTGTGATAAACATCTTGATGCATGAGTCCGCATTTCTGCATGAGTTTCTTAACATTTCTATATATGTAATTATTGGTGTAAACAATGTGAACATTTTTAAAAAGTATTATATATTCTCAAATTACTGTCTAGAAATGTACTGGTTGCATCTGTTGAACAGGGTGGATCTGCTCTGAATGTGTTTGTTTTCCAATCTGTTTCCTAACTATATCCTTTAACACTTCGTAAGTGCTAGGAAAAAAAAATTTAATTTGAAGTTTTATTGTTGTTTTCTGGAAACTTTAGTTATCCCCCACATCTAAGTGACAGATCAGGCTTTATTTAAATTTTCAGATATGCAATCAAAGGAACATAACTAATTACAAAAAATATTCCATAAAGATAAAATCAGAAAATCCTAATGCTATATTTCTCTGCATCCTCATAGCATCTTGTGCAGACATACAGCATTGTACTTTTCACACCGGTATAATGGTTTGCTTTTGTCTCCAGCTAGCCTGAAAACTCTTTGGGGTAGAGCTACGCAAAAACAAATGAACATTGAACGCTCGTCCAACTCTGGCAAAGACCTGAATTGCAATTGGGATAAAAGGATGTCATCCTTAATGCTATATTAAGGTGACCTGGGCTCCATTCCTGACACCTATTTGCCAATTAAAACCGCTTTATACAGAAGCTATATCATCCTCTAGCTTTGCTACAGGAGGACTAACAAATAGACATCGTATGGGTGAAATCATCCTTAAAAGATCCTCAGAGAAGGCTCATTTTATGATGTTTTTTGAGTGTGAATGACTCATTCATATCTAAGATGAAACTAGTAGGTACTCATTTCAGATATAAGGCAAAGTTCTCCATGCTGTGGCCTAAGAAAATCCACAGCCCTGTCACTGAGTGTTTTCTCTCAGCTTGGAACACCTTCCACTTCCCTACAAACTAGTAAAGGTGATAAGTTTGTTTCTAGACTACTATATAAACAAGTTGCCCCAGATACCCCAGATCGATAATTCTTGGAACTCCCACAGCACTCTGTATAAACATACCTCTGTTAGCACTTCTCTTGCTGCATTTTACATACTTCCATACACAGCTCTTTTCCCACTAAAATTAACAGTTGAAGGCAGGTACCGTGTGTTACATTTGTATTGTTGGTTTCTAGCATCGTAAACAGGGCATAATGAGTGTAAAATAGATGGTGCTAACTGAACAAAAAAGTGGTCCAAAATTTCAGAAACTATTTTATCACATATATATTACCAATATCATGTTTAAGCCAACATTTTTTTACATGTGAACATGTGAATAATGTTCTGTTGATCTGATCTTCTAATGCTGCTAAAGCTGGCTCCTCGGCCAGTGTGCTAGAAGGGAGGAAACGGAGACAGTATTTCTAAACCACTGTTGATGGGGACTTGCACATCTGACCAACTGTGTGCATGTGCACATAGGGTCTTGTGCACCAATTTAGGCGAACCTAAATAAATTTCACCAAGAATGTTTCCTGTTTAGAAATGAAATGGCATTAGTACAGTGTGAAAGAATGGAGATTGTTTTCAAAATAAACTCTTGAGCTATGTCTATTTGTATACAACATGGAGAATCGAGGAAATTTCTTCAATAATTCAGAAGCTTGAGAAAACGTTTTTTGAAATTTTTTAATGATTATATATTTTTTTGATACAGGGCCTTGCTCTGTCGCTCAGGCTGCAGTGCAGTGGTGCTGTCTCGGCTCACTGCAACCCCTACCTCCTGGGTTCAAGCGATTCTTGTGTCTCAGCCTCCTGAGTATTTGGGATTACAGGCACACGCCACCATGTTGATCTAATTTTGTGCCTTTAGTAGAGACAAGGTTTTGCAATGTTGTGCAGGCTGGTCTCAAATTCCTGGCCTCAAGTGATCCACTGCCTTGGCCTCCCAAAGTGCTGGGATTACAGGTGTGAGCCACCGTGCCCAGCCAGAAAACATTTTCTACTATCTGGATGTTATGACGTTTCTGTTAACTGTGATGAAATCACGTAAAATACAGACTCTGATGGGAGGCCGAGGCAGGCAGATCCCCTGATGTCAGGAGTTCAAGACCAGCCTGGCCAACATGGTGAAACTCTGTCTCTACTAAAAGCACAAAAACTAGCCAGGTGTGGTGGCACACAGCTGTAATCCTAGCTACTTGGGTGGCTGAGGCAGGAGAATCGCTTGAAACTAGGAGGTGGAGGTTGCAGTGAGCTGAGATCATGCTGCTGTACTCCAGCTGGGGTGACAGAGCAAGACTTCGTCTCAACAAGAAAAAAGATACAGACTCTGAATTCTTAATTGATATCAACTCAATGCTAGTAAGAATGCGGAGACACATGAATTCTTCTGGGTGTTAGGAAGGGAGCCCAGGTCACCTTAATGTAGTGTTGAGAGTGACGTCCTTATATCCCAATTGCAATTCAGATCTTTGCCAAGGTTGGATGAAGATTCAGCATTCATTTGTGTAGCCCTACCCCAAAGAACATTCAGGCTAGCTGGAAACAGGACCAAACTATACTATACCAGTGTGAAAAGTGCAATGCTGTAAGTTTGCACAAGATACCATGAGGATGCAGAGAAAGGTGGTATTGGGATTTTCTAATTATGTCTTTATGGAATATTTTCTGTAGTTAGTATGTTCCTTTGATTGCATATCTGAAAATTTAAATAAAGCCTGATCTGTCACTTAGATGTGGGGGATAATTACAGTTTCCAGAAAAGACAAATATAACCTCAAATTAAACTTAATTTTTTTTCCTAGCACTTATGAAGTATTATAGGATATTGTTGGGAAACAGATTGGGAAACAAATACATTCAGAGCAGATCCACCAAGTTCAACATATGCGGCACCTCACTAGGCCCTGAGGGATCAGGGTTCTTTCTCAGGGTTCCATAGCTTTATTATTTACCAGCTAAGAGAGCCCAGATGGGTTTTATCAGTGCCATGGGGTTTGGTTTCTTTATATGACCAACTGGGAAGCTTTACCAACCTCATAATTAGGAATTTCCACAGTATTAAGTATGATTATGCTTTTAATATTCCATAGAATGCATAGAAACAGGGGGTTATTATTTTTTACCCACCTTCTGTTTCTTTAAACTTAATAGAAGTGCTTCATTGGTCATTAGCAGGATAATGATTGATGCAACTTTTACATGAAGCCATGTCATTTTGACTTAAAGCAACAGCTGTCTGATATAAGAGGTAGTTGGGCATCTACCTACTCTCTTTCACTATTTACAGTCACCTCTTACCATGGCATGTACCTCCTTTTCATGCTGGTTTCTATGCAAGTGTCACCTCCTCAGAGAGGGGCTTCCTGAGCTTCTCATCTAAGTTTACATTTTATTCTAGCATATACCGTTATTCTGTGTATTTATCTCCCTGTCTTTTTATTGTTTGTGTCATCACTGTAATATAATGTCTGTGATGGTGGGACCATGAATGGTTTTTTTTTCTTTTCTTCCCTGGTGGTCCTTTAGAACCTGGAATAGGACCTGACACACAGCATTCCAAAATATTTGTTGGGTACTGAAACTGAAGTAGAAAGCTGTAAAGATATCCCAGTATCGGTGTAGCCTTAATATGCTGACCCAAAATCAGAACCCTCAGTAATATGCACTTCCGGTGGTTACAAACACCCAATTAGCTGGTCTGACTCGACTGAATTGATTGGTTCCTTGGGTTGTATCAGTGCAGTGGACTTGTTCGTGAAAATTGATGTGAGGTTCTTAACAGACCTATTTCCCAGGGACCTTTCTCTAAAGCACATCTGCCTTGTTTTCTTTTTCTTTTTCATCTTGTTTCTGAAAGTCCTTATTTCCCAATTAGTTTCCCAAATAATATATTCAAGGCTAGTCCCAGTATATGGAAAATGGCTTTGTTAGACTTATTTTGAAGTTATAATGATCAGAGGCTCTCCCCATCTTAAATAATTTGCTGTTACACCACATTGCTTACAGGAAAATTATACAACTTTATAAATATACTCATGAAATAATATAATTTAGTACCTGCTCCTGGCAGTTATGTGAAAGACCTCACCTGTTGACCTTGTTTTTTACTCTAAGGCAAATATCCAGAACTTATTCACTCTAATATACTGTAGGGAAAATGTCCATACCTTATTCTGCTTTCTTGTCCAGTGTGGTTTTAAAAAAATTATTTAATTGTTCATTTATTAAAGGAAAAATATAAGGTGTATTTTTATTATATAATCACCTACTATAAATGAAGTACATGCAAGGTATAATAAGTGGAATAAAATACAATTCTTCAACCTTCATGAGGCTTTCAACATTACAGGGAGGGATAGGTCTGAGGTAGCCAAATAATAGGCATATACAATATGCTACGTTACATGATAGAAAGATGTGCAAGGTATTCCTCGATTACATATGAGGAGCACTTAACTTAGTCTTATATGGTAGTGGCTTGAAGAAGGTGACATCTGAATTGAATCGTGAGTTATCCAGGTGAGGGACAGGAGTGGGAGACATTGACTAGAGATGAGACTGGCAGAGTAGAGTAGGTAGGAACCAGATTATGAAGACCCTTTCAAGAGCTGTTAAATGGTTATAATTTAATCTTGAGATTTAATGTGGGGCCTTGAAGTGTGTTAAGGAGGAGAATGACACATCCAAATTTCTGTTTTATTTTCTTTTAATCACCCTAGCTTCCATGTTAGGGGTTTTGTTTTGTTTGGGTATTTTGGGGGAGTTTTGTAGTTTTTTTCCATATGGAGTGAGAGGATAATGAGAGCGGGAGGTTCTTACAGAAATCCAGGGCAGGTAAGGTGATGGCTTATATTGCCTGTCACAGGTGTGCTGACCCACTGATGACATGTCTGTTCCATTGTTTTCTTAATAAGGTGTCAAGCAGCCCTATGAAACAGAGGTAAAGGAAAAGGCGAGATGGGTGTTTGAATGCTTTTCTCAAACTATAGAAGTCAACTTCTGTCCTTTCCATGCAATGGTTGTCTGTGGTAGAGACAAGGCAGAGTGATATGGATAGTTCCTCTTATTTACATTATATGTTGGGAGGTGAAAGAAAAAAAGGAGACCTAAGTATTTACATCTCCTGCCCCCACCCTCAGCTTCCTAGCTTCCAGTGGTTTTAAGATGAGTTATTTTGGTTATTTTTCCCTTCAGTGCTTTCCTATGACAGTAGCTTACTGTCATAGGAAAACTAGAGTTGAAACTAGATTTAAAAGCCTTGAAACTAGAGTTGAGCATGGCATTTGCCCAGGAGAAACGTATACACACACAGGGGATGCTGACAAGTCTGTGCTGGCCTTTTCTTGTCGCTGCATTACCACTTGGCTTTGTCTTGTCTAGGTACTTGAATGGAGTGGTAAAAAATGGAGCTGCCCCAGTGCTCCTGGACCTGGCCAATGAGGTAATGTTATTGTTATGATTTTCTTTAAACCCGAATGAAACCTAAGGGGCCTATCTAGAGTTACTTTGCTTACAATTATAATTGCCTTTGGGAAAAAAAAGGTTTTGAGGTGCATTAGACATTTAAATTGCTCCCTTATCTCTTTGTACTTTTAATAATTGGACAAAGAACTTCACCTATTAATAAATCAGTTGACATAATTAGTCTACTTCTTTTAAGGCAAATGTCTAAACAGCCTCTTGGATTTTGGGGAAAATTTCAACCAAACAGCTCAGGACATGCTTTTCTCAGGATAGGTTGTCTTAATTTAGTGTGAGAAATACCTGTGTCAAGTAAGGAGATGGATGCCAAAAAACAAAACAGAACAAAACAAAAAACAATCTGCTGTTATACAAATGAAGAGTGTAATTGTATACTTAAAGATGTACTTGATTCATTTTTTTGTTAGCAAACTTTTATTATAAGAAAAGATACATGCCTTGTAGAAAAGTCTCTTTCTTTATGTAGAGAAGTATGGTGTTCTTATTAACATCAGGTAAGAAGTGATTTATTGAACGTATTTGTTAACTCTGATCTGTTTCTGTTTGGGGAAGCAAATAACAGCCTTACATTTAAAACAGGAAACCCTACAGATTTCCCATGAATGAAGAAGCTGTGAAAAGTCCATAATAGTTGCAGAGAGCATACTGAAAAAATAAAATATTTAATTCCTAAACTTTAAAATATTTATCCACTGTAATAAGAGCAATACAATATTTAGTCTGACTTGGAAGTGCTTATGCAAACCTTGTAGGGATGGAATGAAATGTACACTCTTTTTGTGTTGCATTATAATGGAAAACATAGAAGCAAGGCAGAAAATGTGTGTTTGCATTAAAGATAACTCGGTACTGTGAGCATTAAGTGTTGCAGTAGCAGCAAGTTCTACATGTTATATTAGCAAGGAAGGATGGCTTCCCTCACAGCTTCTGTCTGCTGCTATACACTGCTGCAGTCAACAAATGAGCATTTACCTATCAGTTACTAGATGGTTTTAATAGTCTAGTCAGTGTCTACACAATCAGGATAGTTAACATAGAGAATGGATTTCTGTGCTCCTCCTAGAAAAATAAGTATTTTCTTCTCATTCTTTCTTTCTTTCCTTCCCTCCTTTCGTTCCTTCCTTCCCTCCTTCCCTCCTTCCCTCCCTCCCTCCTTCCCTCCCTCCCTCTCTTTTCCTTTTTCTGGAGCAGGATGTTTTTGTTTGCTTTTATTTTTTTGAGATGGAGTCTTGCTCTGTCGCCGGGCTGGAGTGCAGTGGTGCCATCTCAGCTCGCTGCAACCTCCGCCTCCTGGGTTCCAGTGATTCTCCTGTCTCAGCCTCCCAGGTAGATGGGACTACAGGCGCACGCCACCATGCCCAGCTAATTTTTATATTTTTAGTAGAGACAGGGTTTCACCAGGTTGACCAGTGTCTCAATCTCCCGACCTTGCGATCCTCCTGCCTCGGTCTTACGGAAGTGCTGGGATTACAGGCATGAGCCACCACACCCAGCCAGCAGGGTGGTTTTTAAATGTCCCTAGACTTGTTGATTACAAGTTGATGCTATTAGTAACTTAAGATATCTGAGCTTTAGGAACTTAGTGATTATCTTTTATGAAAAGGAAGAATGAGCTAGCAGCATTCCAGACACAGCATTTAGAAAGAATGTGATGCAAATATGGTACCCATCTATGTAGATGATGATGTTGAAGATGTAAGTTTTATATCATAGCAATTTATATTCATTTGAATTTTTAATGGATAGTTTTGTTGAACTTAGCTTATTTAGCTGACCTCAGCTTCAATCTTCTAGTAATATGGAAAAATTTAACCCACCAACACGTTTTCTTCTATATCAATAAACCTTTTGTTTACCATGAATATATACCAATATGTAGCCAAGGGAAAAAATAGTTGTTTAAAGACTTTTCCTGCCGTTTGGCTGCAGACTAGTACAGAAAGATTAGCACTTTTCTATGAGATTGCTAATGCATTAGGGAAATTTGGGAAAGGCTGGTACCATGCTATACCTTCTAAACAACCAAGCTGCCATTTTTACATGATAGTTATACTTAAATGACATATGCTTCCATCTGGTGACAATTGATGTGATGGTAATACTTTATGAGTCAATATATATTTAATCAGGGGAGACTATAAAAATTGATGAGAAATGTATAACATTGGTACATTACAGAGTACAGCCACTCTCTTAGACAAGAGGACTGTCTTTTTGTTATCTTTTGGGGTGCTAAGGGCTGCCTGTGGTCATCACTGGTTTTATAAACGTCTTAATACTACTTTTCCAGTTTCAAGTCTAAAATAAAACATTTTAAGAATTCACACTTTGTTAGTGATAATAAGATCAGTCATTCTGTTCTTAGCACACAAATATTTTCAAGTGAGATTTGAAGCACTATGCATTTTACTTACATGCTAAATTCCAACATGAAGCATGATGGCCCTATTTCAGAGAAAGATGGACACATGATTAATATGAAAATTAGGGAGATGCAAGTACCTGAACTAATAAGGTAGTCCTTATTCAGGCTGGACTACCTTCAGTAATTTCACCATTTTTCATGTGTCAGCTCTGATGTGGGTTACTAGGAATAAGCAGCTTCGTGGAAAGCATTTCTTTCTACTTGGGGAATTTAAGGGCATCCAAGTACATACATATTTGAAAAAACTGTTCATACAAATGAAGCCAGCCTTTTTGTCTAGTTACTAAATCAAGATAAAATTTTGGTATGAATATAGGACTTGAAAACCTGTCAGGAAAAATTCATGGTGATAATATATGAGGAACATTTGCTGTCTTCCACCTAAGATAAAAGACTTGTTTTAAGGAAACATGATTGTTCTTAAAAATGTATATTCCTCTTTTTTGGTGAAATTAAGTAAATGATTAATAAAAGATCTGAGAACCCAAAAGAAGACAATATCTTTACAAAATATAGATACATTTTTCATTAATTAAAATGACCGTTGGAGTGAATATTCTTTGTTTTTTTGATTATTTTAAAAAGTTACCTTCCTGGGATCTGTATTAATTAAATTGATAAGCAGTGTTTCAGATAAGGATGATCTTACGTTGCAGATATTATAGTGTTGTATTTTATTATTAGTACCTCTGCAGTGTACTTTTCTTTTTCAAATAAAATATTTTAAATGTAAGGAACTTATACCAAAATTTCGGTGGTCTTTAAAGATAAAATCAGTAAAATCCTTACTTTGGATTTGTCATGTAAGGACATTTGACTCTGTTTCTGAAAACTGTCACTAAATAACAAAAAGGGCTTTTTATTTGAAATTACATTCAGAACAGTATAAATATAGACAGTTGCATAGAAAGAAGGATGGCTAGAATAAAAAATTATGTTGGCCTACCAACAGAAAAAATTGAGAAGAGATGAAAAAAGCCTATTTTTCCTTTTAGACAAATGCTCTAAGTTGTTCCATCCTTTTTGATCCAATGTTGTATTCAATAAATTTGACCCATTTATTATTTTCAATAGCCCAGACCATACTCGTTATAATGTTATTATAATGGAAGCCACCAAGGGTGGGAAAGATTTTAATGGATGATGCTTGCTATGACTGATTAAAATTGACTTAATCTTCAGTGTTGACAAAATATTGGAGTATCAACCAGTTGTGTCACTTGACAGTTTTAATTTTCTACTTCTGTTTTATAAAGGTGGACTATGCGCCCTCATTAATGGCTCGGCTTATACTGGAGAGATTTCTACAGGAACATGAGGAAACTCCAC